GATTTGGTGAATATCAGAGGGATAGACTTTAGATAAATATCAGAGGGATAGACTTTAGGTAAATATTCAGAGGGATAATTTGGTAAATATTCAGAGGGATAGACTTTAGATAAATATTCAGAGGGATAGACTTTAGGTAAATATTCAGAGGGATAGACTTTAGGTAAATATTCAGAGGGATAGACTTTAGATAAATATTCAGAGGGATATTTTGGTGAATATTCAGAGGGATAGACTTTAGGTAAATATTCAGAGGGATATTTTGGTGAATATTCAGAGGGATAGACTTTAGATAAATATTCAGAGGGATAGACTTTAGGTAAATATTCAGAGGGATAGACTTTAGGTAAATATTCAGAGGGATAGACTTTAGATAAATATTCAGAGGGATATTTTGGTGAATATTCAGAGGGATAGACTTTAGGTAAATATTCAGAGGGATAGACTTTAGGTAAATATTCAGAGGGATAGACTTTAGATAAATATTCAGAGGGATATTTTGGTAAATATTCAGAGGGATAGACTTTAGATAAATATTCAGAGGGATAGACTTTAGATAAATATTCAGAGGGATAGACTTTAGATAAATATTCAGAGGGATAGACTTTAGGTAAATATTCAGAGGGATAGAATTTAGGTAAATATTCAGAGGGATAGACTTTAGATAAATATTCAGAGGGATAGACTTTAGATAAATATTCAGAGGGATAGACTTTAGGTAAATATTCAGAGGGATAGACTTTAGATAAATATTCAGAGGGATAGACTTTAGGTAAATATTCAGAGGGATAGACTTTAGATAAATATTCAGAGGGATATTTTGGTAAATATTCAGAGGGATATTTAGGTAAATATTCAGAGGGATAGACTTTAGGTAAATATTCAGAGGGATAGACTTTAGATAAATATTCAGAGGGATAGACTTTAGATAAATATTCAGAGGGATAGACTTTAGGTAAATATTCAGAGGGATAATTTGGTAAATATTCAGAGGGATATTTAGGTAAATATTCAGAGGGATAGACTTTAGGTAAATATTCAGAGGGATAGACTTTAGATAAATATTCAGAGGGATATTTTGGTGAATATTCAGAGGGATATTTTGGTGAATATTCAGAGGGATAGACTTTAGGTAAATATTCAGAGGGATAGACTTTAGGTAAATATTCAGAGGGATAGACTTTAGATAAATATTCAGAGGGATATTTTGGTAAATATTCAGAGGGATAGACTTTAGATAAATATTCAGAGGGATAGACTTTAGATAAATATTCAGAGGGATAGACTTTAGGTAAATATTCAGAGGGATAGACTTTAGGTAAATATTCAGAGGGATATTTTGGTGAATATTCAGAGGGATAGACTTTAGGTAAATATTCAGAGGGATAGACTTTAGGTAAATATTCAGAGGGATAGACTTTAGGTAAATATTCAGAGGGATATTTTGGTGAATATTCAGAGGGATAGACTTTAGGTAAATATTCAGAGGGATAGACTTTAGGTAAATATTCAGAGGGATAGACTTTAGATAAATATTCAGAGGGATATTTTGGTGAATATTCAGAGGGATATTTTGGTGAATAGCATTATGTTCAGCGCATACTAAATTTCTTTCAACATATTTTAAAATTAAGGCACTTGTGATTTGTGATAATAAAAACTATGTCTGTCAAGGAATGTTAGGTTTACTATGTATTACAATGTTTACTGAGGACACTTATAACTTCTATTGGCACCATTCTGATAACATTCTCAATGACATTGAAAAATATAATACCACAGAACTTTGGCCAAATATCAGAACGGTGCCAACAAAAGATATGAGGACTCTAATAACTTCTAT